GATTTCTGTCTTCTGGGTTGTTATGCTGTGTAGTCTGGTCGATGTTAACCAACGTTTCAGAGGTCATACTGCCTCCGTCATCAGGGCGATGAATAATCTTAGTAATCGCCCTGATGATGGAGGCAGCAAGGACCTCCGAAACGTCGGTTAACATCGACCAGACTACACAGCATAACAACCCAGAAGACAGAAATCTTCATACTCACCACTGTGAAAACCTCAAATCTTACATTAATGCTCTACTCTTGCGTTAGGAATTATTTGTATTCGCTTGATGAATGGAATTCATTTTATTGGTGTCGAATATGTGGAGCGTATACGAATAATTTCTAATTACGTAAATAAAAAATGAAATGGAATAGCCAAAAAAGTTTGATAAGGCTCAAAGTAGTTTCTTCTTGAAGTTATAATAATTGTTTTATAAAAATTTTTGGTCTATAGAGCCCTTTTAGCCCTAAAGGTTTATCGGAGAATGACAGACACAGATATAAAGTTTCATGGAAGGACATTTTTGTGTTGATGATAAGGTTTGTGATTTCTGGTGTATTTATGGTTTTGTTATTGTGGATTCTCACTTGAGAGCAGAATTTTGAGCTAGTATTTTGTTTTAGGAATGTGCTGTGAAAATCCATTTTTATATTTGTTGTGCGTGAAATTGAGCTCAATTTTGCTTTAGAAGAAGTGACCCGGCACAAAGCTAGTTTAATTTAGCGGAGTTAAACCAGATTCTCAGCGGAACAGTCAATAAGTATGGTGTTTGCTAAACTAGTTTTTGGTGTTATTTTAATACCAACTTTAGTTTGTATAATCTTGTACTTGTAGTGGAGCTGCTGGGAAATGTAATACTGTAGTGGAAATTTTTATTGAAAATATATTTATATTTCTGGGACCATAAGAGAAAACATATATCTCTCATTGAAAAGTGATGAGAGTAATTGAAGGTTATGTGTCGTGCTGTACGTGCAGTCCATATTATTTGCGTAGCTTAGTGATGAAGGACGGGAGACAGGACGGTGCAATCGAGTGAGTGACGCGTGAAATTAGGCAGGCTGAACGATGTGCGTGCCATCTGTTTTCATCATTTGCTATCTCTATCACAATACAAATTCTCCTTAAATATGCAGGAACTTTTTGATATCGTGTGCTTAACTGAATGTGCTTTGATTTGTGATAATTTGATAATTACGTAGATTTATCCTGTTTCTGTAACAAAGATGTCAACATAGAATCATTTTTAATTATGTGTTTTGAGGTTTTATACTCGGTTTTTAATGGAAAATACACAGAACTTCTGTTGTTAAAGTCTTGTAATGCGTGAGAAATAGTTGAGGATTTGCCAATCGGCAAAGAAATTAGTGACGTAAGGCAGTGCACCAGTGGCAGAGGTAAGATGCTCTTTCATCGGAATTTTGTGGCGTATCTGAACTTCGAAATTCTTTGCGTCTCCGTGAGGCTGGTCTGTAAGCTTGATCCAAGGATTTCTGGCTGATCATAACATTAAATCCGTAATCATTCCCGATCCAGGAGCCAAATACCATTAAACCTTGGATATACCTTAAAGATTGTGTTATGTTGTTGGCATTCTGTTTGTGTTTACGTCCTATAGAATCGGTATTTATGAAACCGATTATAATTGGGGCTTGAAAACTATGTTCACCCACTTCTGTGAAGTTGGTTACTGAGAAGCGTAAATTCAGCAATAGTCATTTATATTAACGGGTGTTATTTCAGATTTGTTAGTTTTTTGTGGTTGTAATACCTGGCATTATTTTTTAATTTCTGATTGTGACTACCGTTGAAAGGGTCCGGAAAATATTTCCACTAACAAACTATTGTTACTACCAAAGTCATGGGCAATGTACTGACATCTCCATGTTTCTTACTATGTAGTCCTCTACAAACCGTATTAATGACAGCGATAGCAAAGTACAAACAACTGACCAGAAACCTTTCGCTATTGAAGCATTTACAAGACATCGTGCTTGAGAGTGAAGCTGGTGACTCAGCCCAGTACCCGATTAAGAAAGTAAGGATAGAATGAGTGACCTTGAGGTCTGATAAGCCTCCTTCCTCTGTTGGGTCGAGCTGGGATTTCTGGTTCAGTTTCAGTGGCCTGAAAATCCTCCTCTTCGACTTGTTGGTTGCTAGGTGAAGCCCAGTCACTAGTTGATCTAGTACCAGTTTCATCTGTCTGGTTGTCTACGTTACGTGGGAGACCCTGTAAAAATTCCGGTAAGAACGGGCGGCGATGGTCCTCCTGTTTGAAGTTTTGTGTCATCTGATGATCATTTCCGGTCTTCTGGTTTGTTACCAATGGGATTTCCTTCCCATTTGGTTTGATGTATGATGTATTGGTATTATCGCTGCTTGAATTGCTTAGAGTGTTGGTACCAGTTGTTTCTGAAACGGTTTCAGCGAGGATTTCTTCTTTGATTTTAATTTCTTCCGTGTTATTTGTGGTGTTGTCCTCTGAAAATGAAATTGTAATTTCCTTAATTTCATTTAGTGTACCTGATGCTGATGTTTCAGGAGCAGTTGACAAGCCTGTAGGGGGTATGATAGTCAATGTACTTGAGATGTCTTCAGTAATCTCTGTCTTCTGGATGCTCTGATCTCGGTGTGGTTTGTCCACAGTCATCACGCCTTTATCAGTAACAGATGTGTTGTATGGCAAAATTGTTACAAAGTATTCTGTAGACACTCCCTTTGTTTCTGGTTTTGTGCTGGGGTCTGTGGTGGTATACAACTGTTGCTCGTGGTTTCTTGTCAAAGTTAAGCCGTCTCCTGTTGATATCACTACAGGAGCTGTAAATTCTCGAGTTGTAATATTTATTTCTTCAGGAGTGTCGATCTCCGTTGTACTTGCAGTGACGTCGTAACCACTGCTACTGTTGGTCTCCGTGGCCAGGGTACTGACGTCATCAGTGCCTCGGCGATGCCTTGTCGGTGGTTGGTGGGATTCAGTTCCACCTTCATTGTTATAATTAGGGGTACCCGAAGTGGTACTGCTTGCTAACACGGACGTCTCGTATTCCTCTGCATCGTGGGTTGACTCATTCCCGTTTTCGCACGATAGCCGATGCATCAACTCATTGTGATCCTGTTAAAAATGAAGTGTGTTTGTAATCTGTACTTACTGAACAGAGATTATTCTGTGATTCTGATAATACGGTTGATGCCTGAATCTTCTAAGTGATCTCGTTTCTTCGCCGTTTCCAGCCTGATTTGTGTATATATTGGTTGTTTCCCCTCATGTTCACTGCATGGTCCTGTCATCTCATAGGATAAAAAATAAAGTGCCATCAAGTTGACATCAATGGATACATGGCAGTGATAAGACAACTGATAAACTAAACTCTGTTCAAATCGAAATACAGTTAAGCTGCTGAAACGTGAAAAGTGAAAATAAAAATTAAACAATCCAATAAGGTAATATAAAATATATAAATTATAAATAAAATAAATGTTCTTTTAGTATTTCCTTGATTTTATGATGTTTTTTTCCTCCACATTTTTAAATTTCTGAAATTGGGGTGCGTCTTATGTTTGATGGTGTCCGAGAATCAATGTAGCATAATTTTTCCTGAAAAACTATTATTAAATAAAGAGTTCGTCTTGTAATTAATAAAATTAAGGAAATTATTTTGAGATTCACAGAATATGCGTAACACAAATTACATTTTTTAAACACTTACGGCCTGTCCCTTGCATGCTATTCTTCGAGTTCCGTCTAATCCACAGTCAGATGTTAATTCGATAGCAGCTTGTTCTGGCAGGTAAGTTACCGTCAGTGAAGGCAATGCTGTCAGCATGCAGCCGTTCGGTTTCCTTGCCCATGGAGGGACTATAATAGTACAAATATGGCCGTCAGTTTCAGTAATTTTATGACAGATTTGTAGTGGTTCTCTTAGAAACGTGTTTACAACAGAAGTAGACAAATTTATGACTGTCCGCAGGGAAATCAAAATTTGTGAGGAAGATGGCTGTGTCATGGCTTGTAGCACCGTGTAGTCTGGTACAAGTTTATCGATGTTTCATAGGTCCTTGCTGCCTCCATCATCAGGGCAGCGATATTTGTACTCACTGCCATGAGAACCTCAAATCCTACAAAATTTCTGACAATCACCAAATCCTCGTGACACTGAAAGATTTAAACAAAATAATGATAGAACAAGTTTACGTGTTTTGTTTACTAATGAAGGAACTGGTGAAATTCTGGCAGTAGAACACACTCTGTCACCACTGGGTTTGATCCTGATGTATGTTCACTTTCTCTGAAGCCTCAGAGCCTAAGCTAAGTAAGTTCGTTGTTGAAAGTCGTGTACTCGGCTGGGTACAGAATTTCCTCATTTTGTGGAACCTGAAATTTGATCGCGGTGTTCACAAAAGTGTCTCATCCCGAAAGACCACGATTGCAAATACATACCAGGAAGTTCACAGATGAAGGAGGCGGTTTCTGGACCACCGCAGTTGAGGCTGTGCCATCGAAAATCTGCCGCGGGATCAATGGCTGCACACAGAGCTGCCTCGGACTTAGGAATCTGCTCCTGCCAGTAGCCGCCATCTTGAGATAAAGTCTTGTAGTCACTGGAAAACAGAGAATTTGTTGTGTGGAGTTTTTGAACTGAATAAATTTGTACAAGGAATTTTATGAGAATTATGAGGAAATACAAAATGTATTCATGTCAGGACCATGTGTAAAGTAGAGCTTTGCGTATTCAAATTTTTGATAAACAAAATTTTTAATTGCCTTGATTTATTTATTTATTTATTTATGTGTACTTCTTGTTATCAAAATATCAACTAGAACTTAAAAATAAGATTTTTTTTCAACAAAATTTATATGCAAAAATTTACAAGAAAATTATTTTGCAACGAAAGTGATGAAAGTTGATTTGAGAATGTATGTAATAAAGATTTTTCAAAAGTCCCCCTCACACCGAAAATGAAATGTTATATTTAGTATTGTGTAAGATATGAGGTTCTTGCAGCAGTGAACATGTGATGAACCTTAGGGTTTTATAAAAGTAGACAGTTTCTCGTCTGGCGAAGCAGCTCATACATTCTTCAATGAAGACCTTGGGATTTTAGGGAGGATTGCTAGCAGTTGCAGGCTTAAGTATTTAGTTCATGTGTATTTCTTGTTTCGGCACTAACCTCTGCTGTCTTCAACAAATTAGAGTACTTAAATAATGCAGCCGAACACTTACGTCCATAAGAACTCATCATTTGCTCCCTTCTTTTTCAGACCGATCCACACGTTGGTCACGACGTCTAGCTCCTTGAGATATGCCCTTGTTGCATCGTACTGCTTGCTTGAATCAACTGTAACAGATATTGCAACAAAAGTTTGTTTCTGCATTGTGACCGACTTACAAATTTATGTACAAATCTTTGAAGATGAAATTGTGGGAAGTATTTCACAGCATCTGAACACCGTCACGCAAGAGAGGGCCTGGTGAGTAGGTAGTTCTTTCTGAATTTTGTTGAAATTAGAACTGTAAGAGTTGACATTTACATGTTGATCTATGGATTTATTTTCCCCGTGTCTGCAATTTTGATATCTTACAATCGTTTCACAAACATTTTAACGTTGCCACACTTTTATAAAATTTAGCACATATTCATGCATGAATAAAATGGATCAATGCTTATCTGACATGGCAACTTAAAATATGCCCTCGAAATGCCGAGTGTCATGTTTTCTCATTACGATCGAATTATGGATCGGAATGGTCGTTCACATTCTGTCCACGTAGGTGTGTAGCATCGGGTTGTACAAAATTATTTGTAATTACGATAATTAAATGTGATACGGGCCAGCGGCTACCCGCAGTTCGTTTCATCGATCTAGAACCATCCATCCATGAGACCTTCGTATGCTGTGCAGAAACACGGTGTAACTGTGAGTAAAATCATCGCCCCGATGATGGAGGCAGCAAGGACCTCTGAAACTTCGGTAAACTTCTACCAGACTACACGGCGCAACAGCCCGGAAGACAGTTATCTTACATTTTTCATGTTGAATCCGGAGATGGAGCGATAAATGGACAGGGTCAGATGAACCCATCTCGTTAAAATCGTCCTGAAGCAAGAAGTTTCGCTAGGTACACGTAAAGAATGTTTGGACACTTCTGTTCCATAAGAAACGGAAACCAGGTCGCTGCTTTCCGCGTTTTGACCTTTTAATGCTCAGTGGTAAATATATGTACCATCTGCTTTAAAAATCCGCAACTGCATCTTGTAGTTATGTGTCAGCGTTAATCAGCTGATCTGTAATGGTGAAGTGTAGTGTTTTCTTCGCGGTACGGGCTGGATTCTTATATATTATTTACGCGAGCTTAGGCTTTAGAGTACTAGAGCAAATGCTGAGTTGGTACCCAATTTCCACGTTGCTCTGCATGCCTCCCATGCAGCCCTCTCAGAGTAATATCAAAATTCCGCTCTATAGTAGCCCCCCCAAAAATTAACGTAAATTATTCCTAACGCCACCCCCAAGGCCAATATCAAAATTCAAAATTAACGCAAAGACCCGAATCAACTCCCCCCACCCTATTTCTTACCCCATCCTGTCTCCTAAATCCCTTGTCCTCACTAAACTTATTCATACCAGAAGGACGAGCGGGCGCTGCCTGGGAACCTTCGTAGCCCACAACCAACTTTATACCCCTCCCCCATTTATAACAGTAGTGCCTATCGCTACTCCCCCCACTTTCTCTCTTCTCTCTCTCTCTCTCTTAGGCTTTAGAGCAGTGGTATTCAACCTTTTTAGTTCGCGTACCCCCAGATATAATTTCTCTTCAACTTTGTACCCCCAAAGTTGTTGGTGTATAATTCAAGTTATACATAGTATATAATCTACATCTAAAATAAATTAAATAAATTACATTACTGATTATTCAGTGTTTATCGTAAAATAATATATATATTTTTAAATTTTACGTACCCCCTAAGATGTCTTCGCGTACCCCCGGGGGTACGCGGGCCCTAGGTTGAATACCACTGCTTTAGAGGGTTAATTCCCCCACATCCCCAGAGTCATAATTTCAAGCTATAAGCAGAGTTGCCATGCTGAACTCGCGTTATTACGTTTTGCTTTGTAATAGAGAGTAGTCCGGCCTGCGTCTCTCGGTAACCGTGCCAGTGGCCACGTTCGGTCCGACAGGTAAGCGTGGTATTGATCTCCATTGTGCTTCAACATTCCTCTCTGCCACTTTCTGTGACAAAATTGTTTACCAACCCTTCTTTTACGTTGTGCCTTTATTTTTCTGTTCTGAACACAAAATAACGATGCTCGTTCAATCTTGACATTGCTTCTAGTATTCGACTTCGTCTCCGAAATTGTTTCCACGTAGGCCACGTAACTTGTCAGGTTCTGACAGCGACGAATAAAAAGATTAATGTATTTGTTTTCTGGGATGTAGTTTTGTAGAAATTGACCGACGTTTCAGAGGTGCTTACTGCCTCCATTATCATCCCTTTCCTTCCCAAAATCTCCTTTGCAACTCTTTATCTTGTCATGTCTCGTCTGATACCAGTAACTTTGTTCCGGAGACGTCTAACGAAAACCAGTAAGGAACATCGATTTTCTTTTGTTATCTGTTTCGAGAGAAATGCTTGACGAGAGAGACACGTGTTTTGTTTGCAGAGAATATTCAAGGGTCGACATGACAACTGAGTGCGTAATAAAAGGAAATAGGAATTCGCTGTGCGAAATTGTTGAAATTGAAGGAGACAGAAGTTGATACAAATGTCTGCGGTATTGTATGTGAAATTGGAGTCTGAAAAACGAATAGCGTACAATAATCGAATGTTGCAACTAGAATTCTGCGCGACATTGCTCAAAAAATTTCAACCATCTCCAAAACAAGAAAGTAATATCCATTGCTGCTAGCGCAGAGATGCGTATATTTTATTGAGACTTGGTACGAACCCTGCCTTGTACTAATCGATTATATATATGGCGACGGCGCGCAATTTTAAAGTTACACCCCATTTTAATCTCGTCGTCATATCTTCGTGACATTTCTAATCATAGCAGCTGATTGTCAGAGGTATTGAAAGGAGACATGAAATAATGACGCGGGGAAGAAATTGAGAAAATGTGTGATAGAGATATCTGGACGAAGAAAGAAAGGATGAGAAAAAAGGAAGGAGAAGAGAAAAGGAAGTGAAGAAAAAGATAAATAATTGAGGCCGAAAGGAATACAGGTATGAAGATAGAATGTTAAATGTCGTTTAATAAACAATATATCTATTTGAAAGTTTTGAATTTTCGTTATCATATTTCCGATTTCGTAGCTCACCAGTAGCCAAAGATCTATAACCGCGTGGTACACGTGAAATGTATCCATATTGGCGTCGTTTCCCTGGCAACGCCACAGAAACAGGTCAACTGAAGGTCTTGGACGAGAGGTGAGGAGTCTGTCTCCCTGTCGTCTTGTCGGGGCTGCGTACCGAGAAATCGGTCTCCTGGAGACGTGAGGATGGGAGGACGACAGAGCGACGTCATCCTTGATATAATAACCTTCATTTTTTTCCGCGACGTCAGAATTAATTTGACACTCGTAGTTGTCTGAAGCCCAGTGGAAACTATATATACCACCTGCTTTAATTGTGGGTTGATGAGTTTTGTCATCAGTGTATATGAGTCTGGTTTGATTACCCGGAATGAACAGCGATTATTTCCCTATACAGCGTTAACGATTTGATCGTTGTCATGGAGACGCGTTGTGTTTCATTTGAGGCAGGAACTGAATGTTTGAATATTATGAAGCACAGTTTGGGGTCAATGCAAGTGACACGAGAAGGTTGGATAGTGTTGACCGAAACGTCGACGCTATGTAGTCTGAGCTGTTGGAAGAGTGTCGTTAAATAAACTATAAATAAACAAGCTTTGGCCTTTTTACATAAGTGACCGAGGTGGGACCTTAAAACAAGCCATGACCTTCAATAAATGGAACTTACCTGTGACTAGGTTGCCATGATGGAACTGGCACACAGCGTCGGCCTCAAACCACGTGATGCGATCATGAAAGTAGCGATAGAAGACGGGGAATCCCTCTTGTGGCAGGAACCAAGTGTTGGAGATGTTCACCTGCAATGCAAACCAGGATCGTCGAATTCACGTCAGTTTTTCTCGGATCTGTCCGCACTAAATATAGTTAAAATCGCGGCATGAGTACCATACGCCCTGATGATAGGGGCAGAGGTGGTCACCGAAACCTCACCTAGTTCTGGCCGTCTGATACTGTGATAACCCGAGAGGATTTTATTAATTCGGTTCGCCATGAAAGTTTTAGATCATAAACCATTAAAGTTGTGCATATGCATGTGTTAGGCCAGTGTAGTCGTTCTCGGTTTAGACGCCGTAGATAAAGTTTTGGAGGGACGTACTGCCTCCATCTACTGCGAGTATGCACGGCGTCAAAACTCAGAACGTCGTTATCTTCACAACCGTGAGAACCTGGAATGTACCGACGCATAATTTCTGTTCACATTACATTTTGTACTAGTCATAATTCCGCAGATCCAGAGACCTTTGTCAGAAGCTGACAGTCGCTTAGCTGCTTGTTAATAAATTCTCGCCATCGTTCTTGAATTTATAAGTTTTTTTTCGTGTTCACAAGACCCTGGCCTGAGCTAGTTGAATCCAATCCACTCTAACCTATTTCCTTGTAATGTGTTTTAATATTAATAACATTTCAAGGTCAAATGTCAACATGCAAAGATATTGTTAGAATTAACAATTCTGATTCAGATACAGCATCGTGGAATAAGTTGATGATGGCTGCCTTCTGGGTTGTAGCGAGTCCTGTATTCTCATAGAAGTTTACCGACGTTTCGGAAGTCCTTGCTGCCCCTATCAAATCCTACGTGGAGCTAGTTATCCACATATTTAAATAAACTGGGAGCCAGTGTTTTGATTATTCCTTCTGAAAGTTTTTACTTTTCTGATTTACCTCCAGCGTGACATAATATTCCAATTCTTATTATTTGTAATAAGCTTTCTCAAAGTCCTGGAGCTTGTTAGTGATGCCGAAATGTTACACTGAAATCCCATCAGGTGAAGAACTTATCACATAAAGCTTTTGAGACTGATTTCCGTTGCCATTTCCTCGTTTCAGAACAAAACGAATGAAACTCGAGTGCTCTGGGGGTTGGGATTTCAGCAGAAACGCGTATGAATATTTTATATCATGTACCAACTTTTGAGCGTACATAATTCAGAAGCCTTCATTCATATATTTCCCTGTTGTGAACGTAGGGTGTGTCGAAACAATGCTTCGCAAAAATTGGCTTTTAAAAAAAGTTTAATTAATATCGCGATATTGTTGTTTTGGGGTATCGATATAATATGACATTTGTCACGTATCGTCGATTATGCCTTTGTTAGTAAGAAGTGCGATCACATTTGGAACACAGTTGTTGCAAAATTTAAATCCGAGGTCATTGTCGGCTCACAGGAATGACCTAGGATCGCATTATCTCAACAGAGGTCTTTGATGTTATTGTTTGATTTGTTACTCGTTTTGTGCAAGAGTGGCGAAAGTACACGGATCTTTACGCATCTGACCGTGATGTGGCCGTGAATAACACCTCAGAATTACGGTATACTCCGAGGAGTACACTTTTTTAATATTATTCAGTAATAATCATCTTATTTGACGGTTAAATGAATAATCGCGTGTTTAATTGAATGAAATTAAAATTTAGGAATGCTGTTTTCTGTTAAATACTTGAATTTCGGGGGGTGTGCGGTGACCGAAGGACTTGAGGAAAACCCTGTTCTAGCAAAACTTCGCCCACCACGACTGTCATTTCTAGCCATCAAGTTTCCTCGGGGTTTCCGCGGTAAAGCCGTTTGAGCTGTCAGAGCGAAGCAAAGGCTAATCTGATTTTAATGTCTTCCTTGCTGCGTCCATCTTTCGTGAATTTGCTTCCTAAATAAAAGAATTGGCGAAATAGGAAACCCCCCGTCAACTAATAAATATTCCACAGTCAACATTTCATGTACCAGCTGCAGTCAGAAAATCTTTCATTACGTCTCAGTGGTCAAGCTATTTTACCTACAGCTTCGTTTTGTCCGTTCGCCGTGGACATCTGTAGTGCGATTATATTATGAAGTTCAGGACTTTGCAAATACAAAGTAATATAAATGCGTAGGAATTTAATTAAAGTCAGAATTGTGCACGGACCATTTTATACGAGAAACAAGCGAAGGTTCTGGAGGGGAAAATCCATTATGCACGTTACTAAATGAAAAGTCTGGTGGAGTACGAGAAAAACAAACAAACAAACATTGGCCTTGTAATCCTGGGGTCTCGGGTTCGATTCCCGGCGGTGCCGGAATTTATAACTTGTGTTGGGCAAGTCCGTGGTCTAGGCAACACGGAGTTTTCCTCTGGGGGCTTCCCCGGTTTCTCCGTGGCATCCCAACAATTACTCATTACTCCATACACACAGAAGAAGGCAATGGCAAACCACTTCTGGATCATCTGCCAAGAACGTATATGAACAGGTCCCAGTCCGAGAAAAGGATGGAAGGATCCTGTTCATATGGACCTGTCGTTAGACAGAACACTAAATAAATAAATGTATTAATAATGTTTGAGGTTCTCGCAGCATCGACTGTGACGTTGACGACGTTTCAGAGCTACACCTCTGAAACGTCCGTCAATTTCAACGAGACAGCTGGCCGCAGTATCCCAGAAAGGTGTCCTCTTCGTGTTTTGGAACAAATTTTTTAATTTCTCTCGTGGGTAATTTTAATTTGGGTTGTTGAATTAGATTAAAACCTTGCGTGCCGTGCGGTGTATTGATACATAGAATCATGCATACAAACAAAAACTGTTTACACTTTGTTTGTACTAGTGATTTTAGAGTGTTTGAATTAGATTAATATTACGTAAAGGCTTTGAATTTATGTTGTAAATAAGCGGGTTTTTTTGTTTTGTTTCTGCGAATGTTTGGTTCCAATTCTCAAATTATTTTACGTCCTGTGTTCCAGAATTTGGTTTTGTGCCCCACACAGCAGTGGAGCCGACTTCGGTGTTATGTAAGTAGCCTAAATATCTGTTCGGAAGGGGAGGATTAGCCTTGCGGTTGACCAGACATCCGCACGCTCGTGTGGAGTGATCGATGTGGACTGGGACAGAATCCAGTCGATCGATTCGTCTCACGTGACCTCACACGTGAATTTCAGTCGAATCTTTTTCTGATACCCACGGGAGCTTGGTCAATGTCGTGTTCCTATGGCGACGCGACGCAAGTTTTCAATTTTATGGTCTTCGCGTTTCGTAAAACAGCTTTATCTACTGCTCAGAACGTTGCAGAATCTTATGGTTTCTCTTCTCACTCTCTGTTCTCTTATTCTTTCCTACCGTCATCGTATTCCTCTTTTCTTTCGTATATTATTCTCTTCCTTTATGTGCTTCTACGTCACTTCGTCGTCTTCACCTTCCTACATCTTGAGCCACGATTTGTGTTCCTTTCCTTTCCTTCTACTTGTAAGCTTTAATTATATATTTTTCAATCCTTTATCCTGTTTTCCCCTCATTTCCTACTTCTACTCGATCGTACTTTATAGATTTGTGTCTGTAATAAATTCTGCACCTTCGAACCTGTTTTTGTGACGTTAATCGCTCGATGCATTGTTTGAGAGAGTTGAAACAGCTGATCGTAACGGGGAATTTCCGCTTAGGGTGTGTTTTTGTACATCTCCTCGGCTCTGTGCAGTTTCCAGAGAGTCGAGGACCGGTATTGATCAGGGCATGCGCGTGTTCTGAGGGGCGTGGCTTGTTTTCGTACACAAATTACGTCGTCTGTCTCCATATGGCGTATTAGACGCATCATTTGCCTCGTATTTCGGAACTTGGAGTTTGACTTCGCTAGATTCTAATAAAGAACTCGAACTGAAAGATTCTGAAATCGCGATGTCTCGTGCAGAAATTAAATAATTCCATGGACCACAGCCCTTCTTGAGAAGCTGGCTGTCACCAATCAGCCAGCGAATTCTAGGAATAAATTTATAGAAAAGTAGCAGGGGACGGGAAAAAAGAAATTACGTAATGAGAAGCTCCATAATTTGTATTTTTTGCCAAATATTACTAACATGACGAAGTTGTGGTGGATGACAGGGGCTGGGTTTGGAGCACGACCTGATGTGTTGGAAACCCTGAACGGGGTGGGTGGGTGGATCACTCGGAAGACCTAGGCGTAGATGGGAGGATAATATTAAAATAGGATAGGAGCGTATGGAGTGGATTCAACTGGCTCTGTATAGGGACCGTTGGCGGGCTGTTGTGAACACGATAATGAGCTCGGGATTTCTAGGTTATCTAAGCGGCTGTTGGCTTCTCAGGAAGGCCTCTGGTCCATGGAGTTTCTTGTCAGTGTACTGAAATTTTTAAACCCATGTCTGTTTTCTGAAGTTGTCTTTTGTTTTAATTTCTTTGCTTTAGTTTTATGAAGTTCTTATTCATTTCGTGGCTGTCGGCCGGTGTTAGGAGTTCAGAATGATTTTGCGAGACTTGAAGCAAAATCGAATTAGGTTCGTTTTCTGGTATTACTTCAGAAGTCATTTTACAGTCATCTAATTTGCATAAGAAAACGTATCCATGTTAGAAAAGAAAAGTTGATTGGAATGTTACAAGTTTCCTGCGGGATAATTACAATCTTAAAAGCGTTATTAACTCTTGAAACGAGATGAAATTTAATTATGAGAGTCCCTTCAATATCCCGACTGGGCATGCGCTGACATCGCCTTCCTATTAAAACTCTGAATTCGTAGACGTCTTGTTGTGCTGGTAGGCCTAACTATCGGGCTGTGCCCCGAGAGATCGAATCATTCCGCTGTTGGAGCAGTACCTGCTATCAGTTTATATATAAAATGACGTGCCAAAAGGGGGGAAGGGACACGTGACTGTCCTTACAATTTGCCTGGAATGATGTTGCAGGTTAGCTTCTGAGCGAGTGGCAAAATATCCTCGGTTACATATTTTGCTTCGCGGAGCCTGTGTTAAATTTGACGTCCTGTGATATCGTTTGCCAAATTTTCAAATCAAGGGATTGTTCTGTGTCACATAAAGCCCTCGAGAACTCAACATAATTTAATTATTTACGAAATAATCCTTACCGTTCTGATTTTTATTTACATTTATCTTCTTTTGTCATGTTTCCATGGTAATTTCTTAGCTGCGGATAGTTTACGTGTTCAGAGGTTCTTGTCTTTTGCTCTAGTTAAGAAATTCGACGTCTCCTATGAAATCCCTATCCTGAGCCATATTAATCCACTCCAAACCCTTCCACCTTAAATCGTACGCCTTCATTCCAAGTGTTTACGTCTTTGTAACCTTCCTTATGCAGATCGATTTATAACGTTTGCAGTTACCACTTATTTAAGTGGTATTAGATTGTTTTAATGTTCGGAACCCTCAGGTGCACCAATGACAGACGGCTTATATTCACAATAATTCTTCCTTGTGCATGACAGAACTCACAGGTAGCTGTAAAACGTGGTGTTGATTGCTAATTAAGGACAGCGACAATTGTACATGTAACAGGACTGCGTAATGTTATCTAAACAGAAGCGTTGCCTAGCAACCGACGAAAGGCACTGGGCCAACTGCGTATTCTAGGTTGTGCGCGCTTCGAGGGACATTCGCCAGCACGACGTCATCGATTTGCTCTGTTCTCCGCTCTATATGCACTGTTTGCCTTGAAAGTCCATTAACCCTTAATGACACACTGGTAAATATATGTACCACCTGCTTTAACATGAAATTTCTCCCAATTTTGCGTACGGAGTATATTTTTTGCGTTTCGTATTATTCTCAGCGTAAACAGCTATTATTTCCCGATCGCTGACATCGTGGAGACGCGTTTTCTTTGAGGTACGGACTGAATATGTAAATATAATTTACATGAACGTCTTGTTTTAAAGGGTTAATAGGTACAATTCTGTGTTTCGTGTGGCCCAGTGAAGTGAAATGAGTTTTAGGCGCCGTCTACAATGAAGTTCGACTGAGGCACTGCGGCCTCTAGATTCGGTCATCGTCTTAGAAAATGGGCGATTGTCTGCCGGATTAAGTAACCGCTTCTAGAAATTTCAGCAACGGATCGTGTTTCATGGCAGTAATTCCACCATACTGGGTTACAATGAAGGACCGATGTCGCAAGACCTGGTTTCGACTATCCGACACGATAAATCCAAGTCAATTACGTAGACAAGACACGCGTTAATGATACCATGGGGAGGTTTGCTGAACGTACGTCTACACTTTCACCTGCGGTGGTAACTCAAGGCTTTATAGTTAGTTAAATTTTACTGCATTAATCGTTAAAGTCAGATAAAATACCAGAATTTTTTTAAAAAAAAGTTTATCGTAATTAGCAACTGTCAGTGTATTAAAACTATGATCAATCCTTTGAAGCTGAATGCTCGTCTGGTTAATATTTAAGAATTCAGTCCGTACCGCAAAGAAAACACTTTAATTGACCATTACAAAGATCAGTTGGTTAACGCTGTTTAAGAAATAATCCACGTTTTACACCGGGAATCATATGATCGTGTAGCTCTTTAATTGGGCTTTAAAGGGTGAATTTTAAAGGTGAATTCAAAAATATAGGTTTACGAATTTTAAACGTAAATTTTTCGTCAAAATAATATCTCCACAAAAGTAGAATGAATAAGCTTTTTTTCTCTTTTAACTGTGATGTAGTCACGTTTAAAGTTTGTTGTTATAGAATATTCCTAGCGTAACTTAATTTGGTTGATTGTATGGTTTTAAATTTGTTTTTCTGGTTATTAATTGTCAGGCGCGTATGGTTTTCCTTTGTGATAGTATAACTGTTACCCAAATATCATCATTAACTCGCCAGCTTGCATAAGTTTTGTTTCACGAATTTAAAATAACATCATAGTTGCGTTCTGTATGCCCTGTCATAACTAATACTATGTGACACGGAAAATAATGACGTTCCTATTTGTGTGATAGGCCTTGTCTTAAATTTCTCATGTTCCTTGTCGTTTTCAAGGCTGCGAGCATAAAGATGGATGTCGTCTGGATTGTTGTGCCGTATAATCTGGTAGAAATTCACCCGATGTTTCTGAGGTGCCCTGATCATGCGTGCAGTAAACGCTCCTGAAACGTCGTTGAACTATACGAGATTAATTCGTCTTTTAAGAGAATGCATACAAAATATTATTTCATTCAGGCGTACTAATGCCTTGAATTATGTCTATAATAAAGGCTCTTTAAGACTTTATGTGAAGTGGATGCCTGAAACGCAGGTCTTGTTTTTAAATTTAAGTTTTATTGGATATGTGGCTTACATAATATCAATGTTTATTCGTCCGTATTCATGCACGTAGATCTGACCGGAGGAGGGAGACATTTTTTGCTAATTTAGAAGTAACATCTCTGCTTTATTTGGCTAGAGTTTCTCAGCCTCTCTGATACGTCATGATCTTCTCCAAAATTATGTCATCTTGATTAGGTACAATACAGACCAATTTTAATATATAGATGATGGCATAGTTTTTTAAATTGATATTTGGGCCTAGGAGAGAAGAAGATGGGGCCTGGAGAAATGAAGGAGACTGGATTTTGTTGGCCCAGGACAGGGACCGGTGGAGGGCTTTGGTTAGTTTGGTGATGAACCTTCGGGTTCTGTAAGCCATCTGTTTGGTTGGGTCCACTATTTGGGAAGCCTGAGGGGAAGAGACCTCTGGGGAGACCTAGACGTAGATGGGAGGATAATGTCAGGCGGGATCTATGGGAGATAGGAGTTAAAGGAAACTGGATTTTGTTGGTAAAGGGCAGGGACCAGTGGAGGGCTTTGGTTAATTTGGTGATGAACCTTCGGGTTCCGTAAGCCATCTGGTTGGTTGGGTCCACTATTTGGGAAGCCTGAGGGGAAGAGACCTCTCGGGAGACCTAGACGTAGATGGGAGGATAATCTCAGGCGGGATCTATGGGAGATAGGAGTTGAAGGAGACTGGATTTTGTTGGCCCAGGACAGGGTCCGGTGGAGGGCTTTGGTTAATTCGGTGATGAACCTTTGGGTTCGGTAAGCCATCTGGTTGGTTGGGTCCACTATTTGGGAAGCCTGAGGGGAAGAGGCCTCTGGGGAGACCTAGATGTAGATGGGAGGATAATCTCAGGCGGTATCTATGGGAGATAGGAGTTGAAGGAGACTGGATTTTGTTGGCCCAGGACAGGGACCGGTGGAGGGCTTTGGTTAATTCGGTGATGAACCTTTGGGTTCGGTAAGCCATCTAGTTGGTTAGTTGGTGTTGAAGTAAGAAATGTGACTCGAAAAGCTTAAAATTTACGGCAATGCAACATCAAAAAATAATAGCAGAATCCATCTAATCCGCTGATCCTGAAGGCACGACAAACGGACCCTCGACTGAGAACCGCTGAACCACTGCCAGCTGTTCGTTAATGCGTATTAATCGTGGTGGAGTACTTACGGCTCTAGACGTGGTGGTTGTGAAATGCGCCGCTAGGATCGCCACCAGTAACAAAAGAGTGGAGCGTCGCGTCGACATGCTGCCGATCACGATGGCGGTCAGTCACACAGTGTTGCTGGCTTTCTGCGTCGCCGTATGGAAGCGTCGCTATGTGGCGCCTGTTCCCAGATCGATATGGCACCGGGGGGTGGGGGGAGGAAATGTCCCCTTTCCGAGTATACAATAGAGAGAGGAATCAGAAGGAAACGTTGTAAGGCATTTGTTTCTGTGCGAACAAATGTAATTCTTCGAATCTTGTCGGGATTATTAATACGGCTGTGCTGACAGATGACGAGACATTTTCATAATAAGTTTCGTATTATCTTGTCCTAACATCGTCAGGGTTGTTGGTTAAATCAAGAAGGGATTAGACAGGCGGGACATGTAATACGTATCGAGAGCAGAAAAATCGATTTTAGTTAGAAAACCTCAAGGAATTAGGCCACGTGGGGGCGCGTAGACATAGATGGGAGGATAATATTAAAATAGAATTGAGGGTGTTGATGTGGTTCAACTAGAAACTCGATATAGGATGGTTATTGTGACTGTGATGACGAAACTACGAGTTTTATATTAAAAAACATTTTTTTTGACGAGCTGAGCGTCTTATCATATTTTGAAGAAGATTCCGTTCTATGGAGGTTACTACCACTGATTAAGGAAATGTGTACAGCAGATCCGATCAGATAAAATCCAGTGTTAGCCATCTAGTTGGGGCTTACGTCACAGAGTAACGCCAGTGTATGCTCGTGAACGTCATTCCGGAAGGTGTAGTGTAAGCACTCATTATTTTAGGGGGCTTTTATTGATTGTAGATAAAACGTCAGTCACTTTGTGATTAGGGCCAAAATAATTGATATATGGGTTCAAAGTCTTTGTTCCTAACGTCATTGTGGTTGAGGGCATTTATAAGAGGCCGTAGCTCCCTATCGTAACCCATATTACGTGAACCCTACGCATCGAGCTGGTACATGTAAGTAGGCATTACCGTATGTTAAAAAATAAATTATTTTCTTTCCGTATTTACATATAACTCGAGGGTTTAATTGTTGAAAGATCATAATTACGGGGGGAAAATACTTCATAGTTTCTTAATAAGACAACAGATGTTTCAGTGAACTGGTGACTGATATTTACAAATGACGTACATATTTAATTTACGAAGCAGTAATTAAAATATCGAACTTTCAAAGCCGAAATACGCGAAAATCATATTTAAGACTTCAACACTTCACCATTGAAAAGATTACATATGCTTACCATTGGACCTTAAAGGGCTTATATCAACATATTTACCGATTATTAGTTAGGGGTCATGTAATGACACTTCTGTAAATTTTAGATAACAAAGATCAAACTTGTCAGTCTACATGTTTAATCTCCGGAAATGCTCGTGAATTCAGACATCTTTTGTTATAAATGTAATGTAGGTTAGTATAAATCATATCTGACAACGTATCGTCTCTTGGTACTGAGAATATGTGGAGTTTTACCTCCACGCACCGCGTACTGATTCTTAGACATGGAGACGACTTTAAATATATTCTTATACAGCAGACATCGTCCACAGAAATTTTTGTTGAAACTTTTGAACGTGTATGCTAGTTAAATATCAATACAAAATGACGTACACTTCAATATTTGTAACTACGACGTTTAGGACAACACATTCCGGGGGGGGGGGGGGGT